GCACTGGCACAGTGCTTCCCCTACACATTGTCTCTTACCACCATGTCGTTGTTCTTGCACAATCTCTGGGATATTTTTTGGCACTCGGGGATATCTACTGTGTCTTTTCAGCAGAAGCACGATGTTCGACGCAACGCGATCGTGCTCAGAAATGGGTTCCAGCCCAAGATGGATAAGAGCACCTCCGGTCTAGTCAAACTCCTCTTGGCCACCAAACATGCAGGCCTTTTCAAAAAGGTCAAAGAATCCACAGTCATGGCTCGGAAGATAAGGTCCCAGCGTTCAGGCATGTCTTGGAAAGAATTCTGCAAGAAGAGTAGCTCAGGAACCTGTTCCCAAAACAATCCGCAATTATTGTAATTATTGAGAGATTCTCATTGGTGGAGCCGTGTTCACAGTAGTCACCATAAAGACAACCGTGGCGTTGCTACTATTCTTGCTCTTGTTGCTGCCACATGCTGCCACTATATTTGATGGCTGTGACTGTGGGATCCTGAGGAATTATGAACCACAGGGGGGCCGCAAGGGATCAACTCCATGAATGCCTGGCACGACATGCTCCTCCAATCACCAAATTAATGCCTTTGTCTAGCAGTGTAGCCGAGGACCAAGATGTTGTAGGTCAGGTGTCACCTCATTAGCCCCAAAGACCATTAAGACAGGAACACACACAACCTCTCTTTTCCTTGCTTTCTTGGCTGTAGGGGAACTCCCTGTCGACGGGCACGGCCATAGCCAAAAGCGCCAATGCAAATACCAGGCTTACTGGGCCTGTAGTCGTGCCTTATGCGGCTCAGCGTCAACCCGGCTTGAGATTTCCCCGACCTCATTCAACCAACCGAAGAGCTTGTGGAGGAAAGAGCTGCAACAGGACATCCCATACAGCCTCCGCTAAAGGCCTTCGGGTAGGCCATGATAGGGCCATGAATTCTGCAACTTGTGTCGTGTGCTTTCGGTGAAGCAAAGGCGCCACTGCGCGGTTGGCCGCCTCCTGGAGCCGCGGTTGGCCGCGCTACGCGGCGTGGTGAGTCCGGAGTCTGTCATTGCCTTCGGCTTCCGGGTTTCCGGGTGGAGCGCAGCCTCCGTGCTACTCGTGGTCGGCAATCTCCTGGTCGGGTTCTCGCAATTCTTCTAGCTCGCACAGAGTCCCGTGCTTCATGCTACTCTAGTAGCATGAAGCTCAAAGGTAAGAAGCAAGCAAACATTCCGCGGTGTGGCGTGGCACTACACCCTGTCTTTGCCTTTGCTCTACCAGAACTTCAGAACTTCGCAAGAACCCTCCCGGTTGGGCACCCAAACCGCTTCGACCGTGGTTCGGGGGACTCCCTCGGGGTTCCGCTTCGGGCCATTGCCGCAGGTGCCGGAAGTGCAGCTCGCAGAGGTCACCGCGCGCAACGCGGAGCGACTCTTCAGGCGTGGTTTTCTTCATGGCGAGAGAGTCTTCGGGGGTCTTCGGTGGGTCCAGGGTCCGCAACTTGGCGTTCGTAACTTGGGACACAGCAAGGCCAGCCTGGGCTGCGCATGGGCATAGACGGCCATTCACAGAAAGAGGGTGAGATCTAGGAAGAAGCATCAAAGGATTCAGTTGGAAAGATCTGTAGTTTCTCCTTTATAATGGGAGAGAGAAGCGCAACATGGTCCTTGAATGTACGGTTGCACCAAAAGTCTACTGCAGCACTCACGCTGCTCCTTCTGCAGTCCGACATCTTTGCCGTCATGAAATCATTCGCAACCCCAGTCAAGTGGTCAATTTGGGTGCTCGAATCTGTTCACTCCAGGTCAGCAGTCCCAGGTCGCATCTAATCGGTTCACCCCCGAGGAATCGCCAGGGCCGTTCCTGGCCACAGCTCGTTTGCAGATGAGCAAGTTCACCAACCTTCCAACATTCGTCGTTTGAGCTGTTTGGGGGAGGAGATTAAAGTATACGAGCCTGCTCGCATCTTAGAACTTGCAGTTCCTTTTTGGATGTCGCCAGCCCAGATTTGATTCGTTCTTGTGCTTCAGAACACCCAACATTTCGAGGCTCCCATTGACCACCATCAAAAATCACTCAGCCAATATACTAGGTTGCTTCATCCTTGATCTGAAATAGCAGATTCCTGGAAAGATAACGGTTGTTGGAAAGCCCAATGAGTGCCCAATATGAGCCTTTCTCTGGCGCGATCACTCACGCCGTGGGTCGTGGTCGTCACCGACCAGGTGTCCGGCCGGTGCAGCTGCCGTCGATGCGGGGGGCAGAAAGCGGAGCGGCCCGAAGTCACCGGGGGGGAGGAAGGTGAGGTGGCCGCTTCGTGTGCAGGTGAGGTGGCCATCTCTCTCTCATCACCTTGAAGAAAGGTGAAGGACCCTTGAAAGAGGTTTCTCCAACTAGAGATCAACCAGTTGCGCACCAGGGGAAGCTTGAAGAGTAGAGAAGCCACGTAAGTAAGTGCCACAGGTGTAATGTGTGCCAGCTCAGCCCTTTCTTTGAGACATTTGGTTCATCAAATGTTGGCAATGATGCCTTCTGGTGATGTGATGGTCAGGACACGGAACGGATTTTGGTTCAGATGAAGAAGGGACCCTGGATATCGATTTACACTGGCATTCATGGGTACCAGAAGAGCTTTAGGGAAGGTGAGGTATCTCAGTAGGGCTTTGGCTACGAAGTAGCCGTCCCTGTGGGCGAACAATACGAAGTTAATTGCTACATCAGCCTTTAAGCAATGTCGTTTTACGTCCAGAAACTCTTGCTCCTGCAGTTCAAAAAAAACAGTTCCCCAATTACAGCAAATATTGATAGCTTTGGGCCAAGGTGAAGCATGTCAGAACCCCACAGTGACTGCAACGCCAATGGTCAACCCCCCGCGCAGGTTTGCTGTGGGTGCTGGTGCTGCGCCAGCCGCGACTTGGTAGCGCAAGGATCGGTGCTGCTTCCACCCACTCAGGAGTCGAGGATGACTACCCAGGAGTGAAAAAATTGATCACCTGCAAAACCCCGTTTGGAGGAGGCTCCTGTCCCCAATCAAAACCAGCAGGTGGAAGAAGGTTGGCCGGTTAGCCTTGCTTTCCCAACAAACTGAGGGAGTACACTTTTGAACAAGGTAGAGATTTCTCCCACCAGAGTATCACCTGTCACCTGCTTTTTTTTCCCTTCGGGGAATATGATGAATATGAGAGATTGTTGTCAAGATTGATGTTCAAAATGGGGAACATGTTTCCCTTGATGATCAAGATAACCCTGCCAGCACGCTCGATATTTTTTCTAAGTCCCAAATTCGTGATTGACTACAATGTTGACTGCTTCCCCCCCAGCATGATTCTTTTTGGGACTTCAATAGACCCATCAGCTATGGGTGCTGATGTCTTTGGGAATCCCAGGCGCTGACTGACTGGAGATCCCTGTTGGACCTCCAAAAGGCTCGGAGTCCAGGTTCTTGGCCCCATTTGGAAGGCCTCCAACCTACGACCACGGCCAACCGACGCGCGTTTTTTTGTTTGGACGTGCACTGTCCGTGATAGCTGGTTCTATCCTAGACCGGATGAACGGAACTGGCCTATTTGAGGTTGGAGCATAGTGAGATCGTGCGGGCCAGCGCTTCGGGTGGGCCAGCTTTCAAAGCTGCTGGTGGTTGCGGGCTGCGTCTGAGCACACCGTCAGAAATTGAGGGACCTGCTGCAATCTGGATTAAAAGACCAGACACCACAGATGTACTATGCGAAAAACACACCTTTTGGAAGACTCGGTTTCGTTGCCGTGTGTATGATACCCTTTTGCAACACACATTTATTTTGAGCAGACATTTGTCATTGAATGTGTACACATGTTTATAATGGACATTTGATGACTTCAAGTTCCAAGACCGTCAAGATGTCTTTGGCCTCCTTGACAGTGGCAATACTTGCATGAAATACAAGCGGCAGCCGACAAGTGAAATGAAGGAACAAGCTCGTTCGTGTCGAAAGAAGACGACATCGCATGAGAAAAAGTGCGGTCTCGATGGTCGATTCGCACAGTGAAGGGGAGACAGAGGACTCAGAGGCAGGTCGCTTGGACTCAGAAGTCTTTGTAGGTCAGATGATGGTTACACGGTGAGAAAACCTGCCTCTGCGCCTCTGTTTGTGGCTCAATAGTGTTTGTTCTGCAAGCCCTCACAACCAGGCTGGGCATCGATCTATCAAGTTAGTCACACTTTGAACACTTGGTTTGTCTAATTTGACAACCCTTGTTACTAGTAGCTTCTTGCTACTCGTAGTAATACCAGGAGCTACTAGTAGCGTCCTTGCTCCGCTCGTAGCGATGCCCTCTATTACTAGTAGCTTCTTGTTACTAGTAGCGATGGCCTCCCAACAAGCCCTTAATTCACAGGAGATCAAACTCAGTCCCAAGGCAAGCATTTCAGATATCCCACCTCTATAGAACTCTAGCATGTTTAGGGTCTTCTAGCCTGAAACATCTAGCTTCCCCTTCCCCAACAATCCGCAAAAGAGCTTCGTCGCCCCGGGGGAATCCGAACGAACCGAGTCGCTGCGTCGCTGCGTCGGCACCGGTCGTCGACGGGTGGGTGAGCCGACGAAAGAAACCGCGGTCGGGGTTTACAGAAGTTCTGTAGGTTGTAACGCGTCGTGGATATCTGAAATGCTTGCCTTGGGACTGAGTTTGATCTCTTGTGAATTACTGGCTTGTTGGTAGGTGACACGGGGCTTTTGTAGCTGTTCCTTTGTCCAAACCGGTTTGCGGATCAACTGGAGTCCGTGCTTGGTCCATTTTCCGTGCCTGTGACTCCCAGTGTTTCAGGTCTCTTCGGCGCGTTTTTGTTTTGTACAAGACATGGATGTTGGAAGTGATCTACTATTATACTGACTCTGGGGGTATCAAGGCAGCTGCGCATTATATATATATGTATTATTTTTGCTGTGTAATCTTGTGTTTGATGTGTAATCTTGTGTATTCTTTTCTCAAAGATTTGCAGACTTGCACACCAACAATGGAACAAATGAACGAACACCAACATGGGTGTGACTACCAGCCCCAGAACACTTGTCTATAGCCCGCCGGTGTTCATATCTAGCCATGGTTGCAGCAGTCATACTGCTTCAGGCAAGGAGATGCTTGCATCCCTGCAGACGCAAGCTTTTGCCTTGTCGCGCCAAAGGGCTCATTTCGAGACTGTTTGCTGGTGATGTGGTGAAACAGCATCGAGGTTCAAAACCCACGTGAGGGCCCACATCCATTCTATAGATTTCAACCACCACCTTCTCGCTATCTAATCACCAGGAGTGCTGGACATTCCGGAGGCCCCAAATTCACCCGATCGCACCAGCGGAGGTGCTCTTGCCCTTCGTGCCCTTGGCGGAGCGCGCCGGGTCTCCGAGCGGTCTCCGAGCCTTGTGGAAACTCCAAAGGCGGTCGAGAGGTAAAACCCGTTGAGAGGACAGGTCCAGGCACGGAGCAATGGGGTTTGTTTGGGGGACGACCGCTGTTGAGGCCATTTCTTCCAGCAGGCGTAGCCCTTTTCAAAGGATACAAAGGGGAACTTGCTGATTTTCTGGACGGCTTGTCTTCTATCAACAGCAGCCTTTGGCCTGTGCGGCCTAATGATTGCCAAAGGACTGGGAAGCCAAGCTCTTCCATCACTTTGGCAGGGCTTGCGCTTGAGTATTTTCTTTTTTTGAGTGGCAAGTCTTCCACTAACTGTTTTTATATATACATTGTTTCCTTCCTTAAATGTTCAGGGTCACAGGAACTCTTGTATATACTGTTTTTGGCTTTTCATCAGCTGTAGTTGTCCTGCTTTCGCCCTTTTGCCTCGAAGAGCAACTCTACTCTGTTGTGACTAGTCAACTTTTTGAGGATTTGATACTCAGACTCCCAAAACAACAACACAACAACACCACCACCACAACAACAACAACAACCACAACCACAACCACAACCACAACCACAACCACAACGACGACAACAACAACAACCATAACGACAATGACAACGACCACGACGACAACAACACCAACAGCAACAGCAACAGCAACAACAAAAGCAAAAGCAAACAACAACAACAACAACAACAACAACAACAACACATCAATATAGTTATAGCCTTTATTTTATAAGTCTATAATAATCCACCCTGTTGACAATTTGGGGCTTAGTAGTAGTCCTCAGAGTCTTTGTGATAGAACATCACAATAGTACCAACCATCATCCACTGCTCCTGGGACAGAAAGATGACAAAGTCCACCCAGGGACTCTGCTTCAGCTCCCCAGAGATGAAACCAGGTGAGTGAGAGCCTCAAGACGGCAGAGAGCCTTCGCCACGATCCCGAGGAAGAGGACAGTCACTGAACATGCATGATTTCTTTTGGACCTTGCACAGTGTCAGTGTGTGTCGTTTTGACTCTAGCCTAGACTGGCAAGAGTCACACATGCGGATCGTTCTTTGGCAGCCTTTTGGAGCTCTGGAGCTATGGATGTTGACCTGCTTGGACTGGAGGTGACTTCTTTCAACAAAACCACCCTTGTCCGCTGTGGTCTTCGGGGAACCCACAGCGAACAGCGGCCGTTGAAGAAACGTCTTCCACATCGGAGACACCGTGTTTTCTGGGTCAGTCAGACATCCTGCACCTCCCAAGCACTCAGAAATCCTGACAAAAGCATTTGAGATAGAGAGAACTACAAACTTACGAGGTTAGCGGTTCCCCCTGTAACCAGATGGTGTTTGTGGTGCTTCCAGGTCAATGGTTCCAGGTGGTGCAGGAGGTCTGCCGTGGACAAAAAGTGGTTCCAGGAGGTCGGGGGAGTTCAGGATCTTGCTTGAGCAAGTGTCAGACCTGCAAGTGTCAGACCTGGGAGAATCGACTTTTGCTTTGGCCACGGCTGTTTGGCCACTGCCTGAATTTTTTTGGGTGGACATATATGCCTTATATGCCCCCCTTGTGGTGGGAGGTTGGTCGTAGAGTCTTCCATTTCGCGCAAAGCTGGTCACTTTGCCCAATTCCTTCAGGTCTTCAAGGGAATTGGGTCGAGTCCGAAGTCAGGGTGCCCTGTCCGCGGAATCACCGGTGGGAGCTGTTCGGAAGCTGAAGCTCAGCGGCACCGAACGTCGGAACGTCGGAACGTCGGAACGGCTGGCGCACCGTTCCCATGGTCCATCAGCGGCACTCGGCCGAACATCCGCCCAAAGGCATTTGCCATTTGGGTAGTTTTTTTGTTTATTTTTTCTTGAGTTGAACCCCGCCAAACAGTAGCAACCAACAGTCTCAGTCAGCTTCACTGCCAAGCCAGCCATCGCCCCATCGGAGCATATCGGAGCTCATGAGAGCACGGTTATGGCATAGCTGACTTTGTGGACAGTTCCTGGTTTGTGATGATACGGTACGTCAAAAATTGAACAGGCCGTCAATAGAGACAACGCAGGATGGTTTGGCAACAAACTGTCAAGCACTTGCCGGTCTGTTTGGGCCTGCCTGTTTTTGGCTTGGTTTCCTTTAAGAGACAAAACCATGAAGATTCCAAGAACCGTCCAACTCGCTGGCACACGAACACACGAAGACCCGTGAAAACATGTATAGTTGTATAGTGACATGTTTGCGCGATGTATTTGTCAGACAAGCGTGACAAATCTTTTGTAAGACGACGGACGCGAGTCACTCCAGTCGGTCACTGCAGCAAGACACATTTGTAAATAAAGGGCTCTTGAAACACATCGTTTTGGAATCTTTTGGACACACTCTCTGTAACGCACTCTTGTGCAAACACTCCCTGTAAGACACACACCTTGTGGATACACTTTTGCAAGCGACAACCAGTCGACTGAGGCAACTCATGTTTGTCTCCAAGTAATCCTAAAACATTGGCCCTTCCTTTCGTAGGCGTGGTTTGAAAAACCGATCCTGCAGGTAGAACACATTCGGCAGAAACTAGCGACACTGAAGAAACTCGGGTTGTCGAGGAAGAATTGCACATCATCAAAAACATACCCCAGCCACCATCATGTCATAACCAATGGGTGGCGTCTCTGGATTGCATTAAGAGGATAGTGCTTTCCAGAGCACTTGCGGGTCTCGGGGGCCTCTTGCGGCGCTCCTTCCAGGATCCCTTCCCCATCTACGCCTCCACGCAGAATCGGGTCGGAGCACCCGTCGTAACACGGCGCCGGTCGCGTGAGGGGATCGGGGATCGGAGTCCAGGCAGATCTGAATGCACCAGCACCACGGAGGACGTGGCCCAAATGTCCGACGCCCAAAGAGTCATGTCTTTTGCATAACCACCTCCCTTGGTGCTGGCCTCTTATCCAACCACCTCAGAAGTTAGGGAATTCAGAGGATTTATGGCACCCCTGTCCGACCGGTCTTGGCCTTCGCGAGAGGGGTCTTAAGACCCCTCGCGACCCTTCGCGACCTGGTTCATAGGGCCCAAAGGGGGCTGAATTGGAGTCCAAACCCTTTGGGTTGGGGATAGTCATGGACCCATGGATGTGTTTCGCTTGGTCTATCTGCAACGTGGGTCAGATTGGTTCCTTGAGCTCTTGGGAGCATCATCGCGGACATCATCCCGTCGTTCCCACTATGGCTATTACTATATTCCTCAAACTCCTTGGGATGGTGAGAGCAGGGAAATGAGCCGCATTCAATAGCATCTGTCAGAAATCGCATGTGGTTTGGGTGCTTTTGTTGCATGATATATGTATCATGTTAATGGTTTACTTGTATTTTGCTGATCCTAATTTGATACTCCTTGTTGGCACCTTTTGAAGCACCGATCCAAAACACGGCAAGGCGGCGGAGCTGAAGAAACTCTCCCTCTTACTGAAAAAGCACGCGGGGCGCACAGCTTTTCAGCACACGAGCTGAAAACAACAGCACCGCGGTGGAGGGGTGATCGTTCTCCGTTTGGTGGCGTTTCTTTTTCCCTTTCGTTTATCATGAGAAAAAAAGAACGTAAAAAAAGAACATGACAGGAGTCTTAGGAGGCAAACACTAAGCAGGGCCAACTACCAGGCCCAACGTTGGGCCATAGAAATGGGGTCTAAGAAGGAAGAGAACGAAGAGGTCCTTCGTCTAAGAGGTCCTTCGTCTAGTGGGTGTGACATCAGATCAGGAACACTCAGGATCAACTCAGAGTTTGAATGTTATTTGAGGCCGCAGGCCCTTTGTAGGACAACATGTTTGATCTAGCTGCATTTGGGTGTGTATTTGAATAGGAAGATCCCTCAAAGACCTCTGGGAACATCAAAAACAGACCAAATCCATTGGGGCAACAAAGTCTATTCTGGCTCGTATCCTACGTGCTTTCTCCGGCGCAAATCAAGGGCTACTGGCACCTGAAATGTTGAAAAAGATGCATTTATATACAACAATGTCATTAAGAAGATTCAAGAAACCTTTTTTTGTGAGTGATCTTGAGTGAGCCCATTTTTTCTGGCGGGCGGCACTTCACTCCACTTACCATCACCTGCTCTTTTGCTTCGCCAGTCGCACATCCCACGCGTGGGGCGTCGACTTCAGCTCCGCTCGGTTTCCGGTCGGACGCAGGTAGACCCTGCTGGTCCGTTGCAGAAGTCGGCCACCCAGTTCCGCGAGAGTGACCAGGCCGGGCGCCCGGCGTGTCCGGTGTTTTCATGAAGCGGTTGACTTCGGAAGTGGGTCCAAAATCCAAAGCGACGAACATTGGGTAGATCTGGGTACATAGCATATGAAGGACATTCTTTACAGTTGCCATACAGTGACCATCTAAGTCCAGATACAGTCCACAGCAACCAAGCATGCTCGGAATATATTCACAAAAAGGTGTGGTTAGCAACTACAAAACAAACTCTTCCACGGCAAATGTACATAAGACATCTAAAATGTTTACAAATTTCTGACATGTGACATGTCCTCATTTTGACATGCATGATCACCTTCCTTCCATATCAATGCCGCTGGGTCGTCAATGAGGTAAGTTGATGGGTTGCAGCTGCTATTCAAGAGCCCGTGTGTGAATGTGGTGACGCTCACTTGATTACCCCACTACTGTCATGGAATATGCTCTTCCAGGATGATGGAACCTTTTGCGTGTTTGAGGTGAGAAACAAGTCATCCTCAAGTCCTTGAGCCGATAGAATGTTCATGAAGGTCCTACATTTCAGTCACTGTCCAACTTGTATACCAGTCAGAAAACTGATCCCACACCAATGACAATGGACAATAAGCAATTCTTTCCTTGCGGGAAAGACTTCCCAGGATTCATCTTCCAGTGCCTTCTCAGAAATTGTTTTTTTTTCATGGTGAAACTGCTGTTTCTGGTGGCCCCAGAATGGTCAGCTAGAGAATGCCCACCTCCAAACACTCCAACTTCCAAAATTTGCACAAAGAACTACCCCAAAACCCGACTGTGGAGCCAATTTGCACCAGGAGGCACTTAGATCGGCCAATACCCTCACCTTTTTCAAGGGTTTTGGCTCAGGTCCTACAGTCTTTGGATGTCTTTCATTGGAAGCAGTTTGGTTCCTTGTACACCAGATTAGAGGTCGGTCGCCAAACATGAACAAGCCCGAAATCAGCTGACTCGTCGCCACGCCCACACGTCCAGAGTTTTTTGGGTCCATGCCTGCTGCGCATGAGCTCACGTGGCGAGCCATCAACATGGCTCGCCACGGCTTTGCCTTGGTCCCAGGAGTACAGCGATGCTGCTCATGGTCTCTTCAAGTCGTTGAACAAATTCCAAGACTCTGCACGGTGCCCAAGACTTCGCGTGATGTGGGCGGTGCTTCCGAAGCTCACGTTTGCCAGATCTGAAGGGAGTGGACGACCGCCTGGACTGCCCATGGCGTGGTTCGCAGCCATCTGTCAGAGAACGTGGAGAATTCACCGAAGCGCTCAACGCAGCTTATGTAGATATTTCATGATCATTTGACATACTGTATCTCTTGACACAATTTTGTCTCTCTCTCTCTCTCTCTGTATATAGAACACCAATATTGTAACCTCACCATCCTGTACCCTCAAAAGCCTCGTGATAGAGTTGTGATTCAGCAGGCCGGCGTTCTCCGTTCTTCTCTTTTTTTTCCTTTTCTACTATTTGGAGTCTGTTTGCTACAGATAGTAGGCACTATAGTCACTAGACACTAGACATCCAACACCTCGCAGCAAAACAATGCATGTTCCCATGTGAAGGCCTTCAGATTCCCAGCTCAGGCCACTCACCACACTCCACGCGCGTCACGTGTCCTTGCCGCCCAGATCAGCGAGTTCCGCGGGAAGGTCGCGGATGCCAACAGTTCGGCCGCCCAGATCAGCGCAGGATGTACTCGGAACTCATATAGAAGTGGTGTTTTGCTGGTGTTTTTTTGTCATATTGGTGCTACCGTGGAGCGCTTTCCGATGTTTCGCTTGCACTCCGAAACATCATGCACGGAAGTGGAGTGAAGACCCCCTGCTTGGTCTTTGGATTTCACCTTCCAAGTCTTCGGGGGTCATGCCATCCATTGTCACCATGTGAGTTCCGAGTGTAGAGAATTGGTTGAAACGCACGAACGCGTTGTCCGGCGATAGGAACATTGGAAGAGACGGCGTTCGCTTCGTGGTTTCATGGGACTTTTTGAGTTCATCCCCACAGAGAGCTACGTCTCGATGTGGAGAGACGTACATCATTTCCCGTAATGGGACTCTAACGTACATGATTTCAAATCAAATCTTTAGACATGCAATACATTGCAATACATTATACAAACATCTCCATCAGTTTGGGACGTTCGCAGTTCATGAGCATGAGATGCATGAGATGATTTCTGCAATGGCCGATTGAATCGACCGACTCCAACATCCCTGCAACGGTCACAGGCAGGAATGCTCACGAATGCTCACATGCTCCAGAGAATGAAGGTGACAGCTGTGAAGATGATATCTAGAGAATGTAGAAGATCATGGAAGAAGATCTTATGCTGATACTAAGGAATCAGACCTCACAGGAGGCCTTAAAGGCACTACCTTTCATCACTGCTTTTTTTCATCTCGTCTAGATGTTCCAGACTTCGCCAGCCTGCGACAAAGAACGCTCATCTCCCCAGATCTTCGGCTTCACATCTTCTCCCCGAACCAAGGACCTCTACCCAGGCCATACGGTCGACCGCCATGTTCTCCCAAGGCCATAAGGTCGACACCATCAAGGAGAAGATGTCCGTCCGGACGCCCCGTGTGTCCCGGGGACATGCGGATGTGGGGATCGGTGGATCCAACTGGGCTGTCCAGCTGTTCGGTTTCTGTTGAATTGGAAGAACTGAGAGAAGTAGATCATCCAGCCACTGCCAGGGAAAGCAAGAAATACTCTGCGCAGAAATGGTGACCGCCCATGCAAGAAATGTGAACGCCGACGATTGTTTTGGATGGCTCGATGTCTGAGGTTACAATTTCCGAAACACCCTCACTTGTTTCGGAGAGTGAACCGCTGGGGAGATGCTGCGTAGGCTGCTTTCTGGCATTTTTGTTGCTACCCATCTAGAGGCAATGTGTGTGTGTGTGTGTGTGTGTCAGCCGTTTCAAAGGAATGGCTTTCAGCCCCCCAAAGCCCTCTCCTCCACACCTTTGGAGTTTCTGTTTAAACCGTGCACGCGACTCCAGAGCTCCAGAGCTCTGACTCTGAAATACCAGAGCTGAAAGATCCATCGCCAGCATCCCCCAAAGAAAAAAACGAGCTTCAGATATGTTCAGAGATCTAGGATCTGGCATGGATGAATGGATGGAACATATGCTCAAGCATATCTAGAATCTGGCTCAAGTTCACGATCTTGGGATGAATATGAATGGATGGCTCGCCGAAGTCCGACCACCAGTCCGCCCCAGGCGAAGCTTCCAGGTGTGCGAGGCCGGTGGGCAGGGTCTTCCACGTCTTCCAATGGCGCAAGCACCACGTCTTCCATCCACAGTGAAGCCGATTGGCGCACAAAGAGAGTGGGAAGATGTGGTGGGAGACGCCCCCCTCCGCTGTGGTCGGTTCACTGGTGGTACCAGTCTTTGACCCACTTAGCTGTGCTTCTTGCCTTCTCCAGGAGAGGGTTGATTTGTGGTTCGTGGTGTAGCGTTAAATCATCACACTTAGTGGCTGTACAGGTTGATACCCAATATAGCTACTTGAGCGCTCCTTATGATTTACAAGGATCCTAGCCCTAGCCAATCTTGGCCGTTTCAGACACCCATTGGACTCTTTCGTTTACTTCTTTCGACCGTCCCGGTCCCCCCCGTTGCTTCGCTCGACCTCCGTTCTTCGGTCCGGATGACGAGCAGGTCCGCATCCACAGGATGAGTACTCTGAGGTGGACGACGAGGTGGAGTCAACCTGAAGGCTGCCGACTGAATGGTCTAAAAGAGAGCGGGAGCGGCCGAATGGAGGGAGTGTGACAGTGAAGGCCACCTTCAGGAGGGACGGTCAATGATAAGATTGAGACGTGTATTTTTATAGGGAGACCACCCTGGTCTAATGGGTAGACTGATCTATTTCCACTCTCTAGTATATACTTTATGCATTTCCATCCTTCTATGGAGAGATAGAGTTGGATACACCTCTACTCATCGCAGGCCCGGTGCAGGTCGTGCTTCCTTGACTCGAAGCAAGCTGACGAACTGACCGGTGAACGTCCTGCGATGGGGCGGGATGATGGGACGACGTGCGGGGAGAACATGGGACAGGTGGATCATCGATTCTACGGGGGGCCAAAACCCCCACCACCGATCCGTATATATAAAAAGGATTAAACATGAATCTATACAGTAACTATATGTAACAATAATCATATCGTCATTATATAATTATTTATGTCTTCAAATGCTCACCATGACACCCAGAATCCAGTACTCATTCGAGAATTCGCACGCAGTACAACGGAGGAACAAGATAGTTGAAGCCACAACTTGTGTGCAGCGTCTACAATGCCCAACAGCTCTGTAAGGGATGCTTGAATACCCGACCTTCCAACTGGCGCAACACGTCCCCAAGTCACGAGATATTCAAGAGAAACGTTGCATGTCGGCTTGATACATCTCTCCAGCAGCTGCCTTTCAGATCAACGCAATGATTCCACAGCCAAGTCACGCTACGCTGGACTCCAAACGACGACTTCAATTCGACGCCTTCAACTCAAAGGATCTAAAAGGTATTTTTTTTGGGGGGGGATGCGAATCTCATAATGTCCATTTGATGCAATCATTATAAGGCCATTTTCGCTAGTGTTGATGCCATGACAGTACTACTCACACAGTGGAGGTGCTCATGGCTCCCGCATAGACAAGAAGCCAGAACCATTTCTTCCCCTACCACAGTAGAAAGCAGCTGTGACATGTGGAGGATGCGAACATGATCGGTGAATTCCTGCATTTTACTGGCTACTTACTTCAGTGCGTGTTTTTGTTTAAGGCTGACTTAGTTAGACTCATGTCACTGCAGAAAGCACTCAGAAAACGCGTTCGAAAAGACGACTCTACCCGTTGCGTGTCGTTCTCTCGGTGTTGTTTTTGATCCTCTCCTCCATGGGAAGATCTGCCAAGATTGTGGGGGTACTTGGAGCTTTGAGTCACTACTGATGGCTGATGAATGTGGACCACCCGCCCCAGTCTTGGATGTTAAACACCCTCAGCATCCGGGGGTTGAAGTATCATCAACAGTCTACATTACTGGGACTGCTTTTTAATCCTATTTGTTTTGCCGGAGTTTTCAGTTCCCGCTCTCCTCTTGTTTTGGACTCACTGCACAGTGATTGGGGCAGTTTTTATGGATTGTATATTGTATACTGTATTTGGTTTGCCCGACGGCGGGGTGGTCTTGGGCAATTACAGAGAAGCGATTCTTCGCTTAAAAAAGAGCGTCATGTCAAACTGGGCGACATGTCACTCTGCAAGAACTAGCTGGCTACCACTTAGCTTGTCGCATCGTTTCGCCTCTTAAACAGGTGCCAGGATCGACTAGGACTAGGATGCTTTATCACCATACAGCATGGCAGTGCTGTCTCTATCTCAAGTGGTTTAGGATATTTCTCAACATCACTTTGTAGTTCCACAAATTCCAGTCGCCAACATCGTATCCGTATACCGTATACCGTTGACTCCATAGCATGAATACACCTAGACCTGCCCTTCGTCTCATCCATGGAAGTGGAGTGACTGAGTTCAGCGCCGGTTTGGCTCTTCGGGGCGATGGTCATCCGAGTCGTCTGAAAGGGACCATCCCATCCACGGTCCACGGCCCATGATGGTTCCTCAAAGGTTTGGTCCCTGGATGTTTCTGGCGAGACTCGCTTGGACCTCCGAGGTGAGAACACCAGCCTTTGAAAAGCAGAAGAGACATCAGAAGGGGCAGGAGATCGGGAGACAGAGATGCGCCACTTGCATCCATTTGATGCTTTTTTTGGAGGGTGTGTGTGGATTGGATTTTTAGGGGTGCCACTGGAATCAACTTCAGTACTCCAGTACTCACACTGTACAGTAATTCACATGGCGCGAGAATTTGGAATGAGCTGTATACGTGAGGTATATGAAGCTTTTGTCACTGGGTGATTTATCGAATTACAAGGGTGTGATTCTCCCAAAGTCTGACCAAGCCAGAGACCTGATTCGCTTGCTGCGCGACAAAGATCGTCAGAGACCTGACCCAACAGCTTGATGGTGGCATTCCGTGTCCCCTTCATGTGCGCTGCTAGGCATACTATGGCATACTGCATCATACTGCCCATCGAATTCTGCACCAGGAGTGGAAGAAGAGCCAATGGAAGGAGGCCAGAGAGAATGAGAAGAAGTCCCGAAAGACGGAGAACGAGGCCTGGACGGGTTTCGAGTTTCCGAAGGTGGCCTTCTGTGGACTTTGGAAGGACAAGCGCGTGGCCTTCCGGGGAGGCATTCAACAAGTGCCAACAAGATGGATCAAAACCATGGCAGTGGATCAAAACCAGGCTAAATACACCGGTTGATCACAGAACATGAGCAGAATAGATTACTATAGGGAGGTCAACCTACTAGGCTTTGTGGCTCCGAGTTTTGACGCCATATGGATGAGTATGTAAAGTGAAGGTCAAGCACTTGGTAGAATAGACACATTTTGAGCATTTGAGGCCTCTGTCATTGCCCAAAGAAACTTGGACACCTCTCACCTTCTTGCTCCAGTTCGCTCACCCAAAACGCACAAAGAACACCACGTGTAGCTGCGGGTTCAAAGAACATCACACGTATAGCTTTGGATCTCCAAGTGCCGGCGATGCACGAAAGCTTTGAACCTGTTTGTCAAAATACACCGGCCAGCTTTTTGAGTGAGAAGTTGTCGATACATATAAACTCATATATAGATACAATAATTCTGAAGGACATTCGATGATTCCAAACGATTCCCTGAAGCATTGCGCAGCTTCAGCGCCAGGTTGGAGCGAGCGCCATGGAGACCGACGAGCACCAGAAGGACTGGTCCGGGTTGAACAGTGGCGTTGCTCGTCCCGAACGAGGCACCTGGTGGTGAACACTCGCTCGTTTATTTAAAGGGAACACTGTAAAACGATAGGGGACTCACTGATCGTGTATTTTGGTGAGAAGAGGCCATGTAAATAACTTTGACCATGGCTCATAACCGTATTTTAGTGATGGTTCAATTGTTTGATAGTGATGTTCACAGCTGGAGGTCGTCGTCGTCGTCGTCGTCGTCGTCGTCGTCGTGGTGGTTGTTGCTGTTGTTGTTGTTGTTGTTGTTGTTTTGCATCACAATATAGGAACCTATAGCGGATCAATTCTCGATTCTTCTAAGTATCTTTGCAAGATGTGGTGAATGACTTATGTGGTCTAGTGGTCCAGAGTGGGGAAAGATGTCGGGGTAACCGTGGCTGGACTCTGAGTGGTGTGCTTTTTCTGTACTCCTGTGACGAGAAGGGATGTTCAGCCGGTAGTTGGGGTGTCCCTCAGCCGCTTTGTGTCAGGTTTCAGTCTATTTTTGAGAGTAGATGGGACAACCCCGATTCAGATAGGGGGTCTATATAGCGCCCTCCTTTTGGGCTCAATGGACGCTCCGACAGGGACAGGCGCGGATATTGTAGTAGATGGCAAGTAGGAATCAGTAAGAAGCCCAGTAGAAGCACAGCTGAAGTGGCAGTCAGGGTCTCCTCATGGGTCTTCTCATGGGTGTCCAGTGAATGAAGCGGATTTTGGAGGTCTTAGATGGATGCCGAAAGACTTAGAGTAATGCTCATTTTAAACATCTCTTCGATACTTCAATAGCGCAGCAATGCTGCAAGGTTCCTACTGCACCATGTCGCAGCCAAACACATGCTTCGTGGGGCAGTGTCAACCCTCATGGACATCGCCAATGCAGCGGGACCACTGATCTCGGGAGTCGGCCAAGGAGCTTTCTGGAAAGGTTGGAGAGGAGCGAGGGAGCGCAATTTTTTAGTGTTTTTTGTTTTTAGATACCATATTCATATACACGTATAAATATATATAATATACCTATATATATAATTTGTTCATTTGATGACTAGCTGGCGATATGCAAAGTGGCGAGAACCAACCTGCAAAATCCTGAATGATCCTTTTTAGTCAATGAACTCCGCTATAGTGGCGACTCATGCATCTCCTCTCCCCGCCGCCGCTGGTTTAGGAGGAGGTATTATTGAAATGCATTCCATAAAGACAGAAGCAACAAATGGGGATGTGTAATAACCCCCATGCTTGCAATTTAGTAAGGGCTGGACCTAAAGTATCCGAGGTGACCAAAAGCACCACAAAACGATAATAGGAGAACAACGATAACGATTAATGACATTGCACCTTTTCTGAGAGGTCTTGAATTTCTCTGTGCATCCCTCCGCTGGCATGACAGCATTCAAAGAAGGTCCTCTATATGTTTTTCCTTCACTTGCTCATGGCTGCGTTGTGCCCGAAGTTGTTCTGCCAAATAAAAGGTTGCGTTGCCAGTGTGCAGCCTCCTCGTGAGTGGCATGGCTTCATGGTTTCAGAGACGAATGTTGGGAGTAGTGTCGAGAGGTGCCTTGCTTTCTGTTGAATTGCTGTCGCATTGCGGAGCGTGTCAAGAATTGGCGCCTTGAGGCCCAAGATCTGGGTAAAGTGAGAGGGTACCAGAACGATAACGAAACGATAACAAAAGCGATAACGTTATGTAACAAAATCCTCTCAGATGAACAATGTCCCATTTCTTTGTTTCAGATGTTTGATTTTCTCTTTCGTCTTCATGTTGGAAATTCCGGTGGCCACGCAAAATGCGTTGCAGAAAGCCATTTTGGCAGCTCCGGATGTTGGGAGTTGCGTCGTGGAAGCTGCGCGGAAGCATGTGCCTGGTTCTGCTAAAATTTGCAGGGCGAAGCGCCCATGTCGAGCAGCTTGTCCAGTAGCAGCGCAACCTCGTCGGAAAGTAGAGTCGAGTGAGAATGTGCTGCAGCTGCTTGCAGCTTGGGAAGGGCCTGGGCAAGACT